GGGAAGGAAGGGATAGGGGGAGAGGAGTAGATGGATTAGGGAGAGAATAAGAGAGACGAAAGGGTAAAAAGAAGAAATATTAAACGAAACAGAAGGGAAAGGGGAAGGAAGGGTGAAAGAAGAAGAATGGAAGGAATGGGGAGAGAAGAAGAAGAAGGAAAACTAATGAACTAATAAAGTTACTAACCTTCTTAAACGTTTAAATATCTTAGATAACGGAGCGTAGTAATAACGTAACATCAACCTAGTCTTCACCTTCAGGCCACTTCGATAACCACTTCATCACAAACGAGTAAGTCACCGAGTTATCGCCATCATCAACAAACACAACCTCACCACACAATGTCTCATAACACACTGAGCGAGAGCTGAAGAGACGACTCGACTCCTGGGTGATGGGGTAACAGGTGTTATGTTTCAGGTAATTGCTCGTTAACTATCGCTACCACTAGTTCAGTAAGTTACTCTATTCCTCCTGTCCTCTACAATACTTCCTACTCCGTGGAAATTCGAACCTAATACCTTTTTGAATGTTAATTTAGTGTTATAACCACTTCGCCACAATATCTATAGAGTTATGTAAAGGAAATTAAATTAATTCACTATACAGACGCTGAGACGTGTGTAAGCAAGCGTCACCCTACACAGTGTTCCCATGTCAAGGTTAAGACTCTGTGTACCCTCTGTCCTTTCCTCCTGAACTGGCAACACTGAACAATAAACCTTTCAGTTGTATTACATTGTTAACAAACTACAATATTCGACCTAAGGTGAATAATATCTCACATCTAAAATCATTATGTGATACAACACGCATACATCGTTTATTCGAGAAAAAATAAGAAATATTGAAATCACAAATATATTTACGAGATTATTCAAGGTAGCTGTTCAACATTAAATTCATCTCTCATATATATTGAGTTTTATAATGCATATAACTACTATACTGCTAATCACTTAAAACACTAGTAAACACAGCGAATGAACCACAAACTGTATATCTGGAATAAAGGTGAGATACGTACAAACACTTACCTGTATTATACTTAAATTACTTACCTTTGTGTTTACATCACAGGTGACATTGAAATTTATATGAGGAAATGTGTGTGTATATTTCTTCCTGTTGTCTTTATCTAAGGAAGTGTGTGTGGGTGTGTGTGGGTGTGTGTGGGTGTGTGTGGGTGTGTGTGGGTGTGTGTGTGTGTGTGTGTGTGTGTGTGTGTGTGTGTGTGTGTGTGTGTGTGTGTGTGTGTGTGTGTGTGTGTGTGAACATTTCTATTGTAGTATTAATTCATCCTACCAAGAAGATAAACAAACAAACACTCATAACAAAAACAAACACACACACACACAAACAAAAGCCAACAAAACCACCGTATCATATCGTCAACAAAAGACATACAAGAAAACTTAACTTACAAAAATATTTCAGCTATATAAACCTGACAATAAATTTATCCCACAATAACAACACAACTCATGGTGGCAGATAAGACTACACGTGACATTTAAACATTTATTTGAGGAGTTAAATACACATTCAGACAAGCAGAAGGACGGCTCAAGTATCACAGTATCAAATAATATAATGAATGTATCTTACAAACTGAATGTCACACAGAATGACTTAACATTTGTCATTGGTTATATTGGTACAGAAATGTGAAGTGTTTGTATTTTGGAGATGATAATTAAGTCAGGTGTTACATATCCTCACCTGAGAGAGAGAGAGAGAGAGAGAGAGAGAGAGAGAGAGAGAGAGAGGATTCCAATATTACACCCCAGGGCTATAATGTTTTGAAGGACTTTTACAACTGCTTTTTTATCATTCTACACTATCACCTATAGGTTTTAAATCCATTATCAATGAAATCAGAAACCATACCACACACCACTCTAGAATATCAAATACCCTATAGCTAAAATAAAATAAAAAGTAGCCTTCAAAACATTTTAATTTGTAGAATGTGATTTGTATTCTCAGTCTGAGGTGAAGAATGTGACGAGAAAAGCAGAAAGAGGATCACCTGTTAATTAGAGATTCCATCTTATATGTTACCTGAAGATTACCCACATTGATGATACCTGGGAGGGTTAGGTTAGGTAGGTCAGGTCAGGTTAGGGTGGTTAGGTTAGGTTAGCTTAGGGTGATTAATCTTCAGATAATCCCCCCACCAAAAAAATCATTCACATGTTTATTATATATTACTTCAATGACCATTTTCAGTATCGAGAAGAGATGGATATTTTAATCAACATTTAAATGGCATTGGTTATAAGGGAAGTAGAACTCAATTGTTTTATAAAGTAATGGTGAAAACTGCAATTAATTTTCACCTTTGAGATAAACGACAAGGAAAGCTAAATGTTCAGCGGTAGTGTAAAGGAAACATGGAAATTGCACAATCAACTTTCAACAGCAAAGAGACTGGTAGTTGAAGTTGAGTCACAGGTAAGATACAAATTGCAATCGACTCTCAAGTGGAAGAATAATTAAGAGGTTTAAATTACCATCAACTACACCACAGTATCAAGAGATATCAATGGCAATCAACTTTCAATTGCAAAGGGGATTAGTTGGCAAAATACCTTAAGATGCATAATAAGAGGGATAGTAAGAGAGTAACATTCTCAACCCGGTAGAAGATAGTTTTATATATACTTAAGTTACCCCCTAAAGAAAACGTAATTCCTATAGCGATGGTAAACTGAATTAAATCTTAAATAGAGAGACATATATATAGTATTATTTTGTATGTATATGTATTTATAAGAAAGAAAATAGACATTAGATATTTTTAATAGATAAAAATAGCCTTAATAGTTCTGAAGACAATAGCTGGTGTTCATATATAGCTGATTTGATATCTATACAGATTTACATAGTGATTGGTGGATATACCTGAAGTGTTATATAAATTATACACTTCACATATATAGACCAAATTGATACTTAGATCATATAGTATTTCCCCATATACATGTAAATCGATATATAATCTACCTCCATTTACACATTTGATTTACACATATTTTCATTTACACCGATATTATTTAAATATTTAATAATTTATATATTTCAGACTATATATGGTTTATTTACATTACAGTTAAAACAGTTTTATATTATTTTATAACATTTACCACCGCCACTTTCTTCCATAGGTGTCATTTACAGATTACAATATATATTTACACATGTCATTTACACTTAGCATTTACACGATTCGCTAAATTGTCACTATTTGTCATGCACACCTACAATTTACACTTCAAACTTGTATATCAGATTTACACTTTGAATTTACAACACTTAATGTATAGTATATAATTTAAACACAACTAACTTACACCATATACGTTTACTTCTCATTTACAACTTCATTTACAATTACATTAAGCTTCAAATTTATACCTATTATTTACAACCTCCAGAGACCAGTTGTAAATATCTTACTTCCTCTGTAAATAGCAAGCAATCAACGAAGTTACATACATACATACATACATACATACATACATACATACATACATACATACATACATACATGTGAAAACAGGGCATCACAGTTTTATATATATATATATGTACGCTCACACACACACACACACACACACATAATATAACAAACATAAATAGCTCGTTTAATATCACACAAGGAGACATGTACCATAAAATAGCATTGGCTTTATATAGTAAATTAATAGCATCTGGCATTACTGTAATATTAACAATCATACGAATTATTAAAGCGGCTATTTTTTCCAATATTATTTTTTTTACACAGGAGAGTAATGGGGAAACATGTGCGTGGGTGAGGGAAATGGGTGGTGGTGGTTGGTGATGGTGGTGGGTGATGGGTAGTGGGTGGTGAATGGTGGTGGGTGGTGATGGTGGTGGGTGGTGATGGTGGTGGGTGGTGGTGGGTGGTGGGTGGTGGTTGGTGGTGGTGGTGGTGTTGGGATTGGGTGGGATAGTACGGCAGTGGACTGGCTAGTTAATACTGATAGTTGATGGTGTAATGATAGTCATGTGTTAGGTGGTGGGTGGGTTAGTAGTTGTATATAAGCTGGTGGTGACAGTAGGTGAATGGTGACTGGTGGTAGTAGTGGTGATGGTGGTAGTAATGGTAATGGTGGTAGTGGTGGTATGTATAGGAATTATTGATTGTCCTTAAAGAAGCTATGTACATAACTAGCAAGACTTGTTGAGAGAGAGAGAGAGAGAGAGAGAGAGAGAGAGAGAGAGAGAGAGAGAGAGAGAGAGAGAGAGTATTAATTAAATAAACTAACTACACACCCTCTTACGGTGGTGATTGCAGGTAGAAATCTTTTATCTAATTAACACCTGTTTTGTGCAGGTATGAACATCATGCCCTGAGATTCTTAAGAAATATGCAGGTAAAATGTACCTAAAGCTTCAACAGAGGAACATTATCTGACACGTAACACAGACACACACAGACACACCTCTGCCTTCTTAAGCAGTCCCTCTTAATATCAGATAATGTGAAGATATATTGTCTTCTTAACAAGACACAACCGTGGTTATAAAATCACAAAACATTTTTACATTTCCAATAAAAAAGAAAAAGAGACATTGAACAGAAATGAGGTGGATGAGGTTATAGTGTAGCTCGTGGTTAAAGGTCCATTTAGTGTGGTTATGGGATATGGGAGTTAGGGTGAAGGTAAGGTCCATAGTCTAAGGTGACACGCGTCCCTCCCCCTACTCTTAAGATGGCTGCATGTCCAGGACCTCACTCCATCCTAACTATAGCGTACTGTACCGTACTGTACTGTACTGTACTGTACTGTACACCCTCATCTATTGTTACAGATCCTTAAGAAGACACGGACACATACACACTCCTCAATGGAAGATAATATACGAACCTTAGAAACTTCTAATCTTAAAACTACTTAAATACATACACACACATACACACACACACACACACACACACACACACACACACACACACACACACACACACACACACACACACACACACACACACACACACACATACACATACACACATATATGCAATGGTTGCCCCTCGTTATCGGGGATGGTAGCCTCTCAGATCACTTAGATGTAATCTTCTTAAAGGTGTAGCAGCTGCCGTCAACACAACAACAAGAGCATCCATAATTAGCGAGGTCTTAGTGTCAAGGGCTAACCTAGCAAGATCGCTAATACTCTGCAGCACAAGTCATAAACAGAATAATATCCAGGCCCCTCCTCACTGCTGGCGAGACAGTGGCCAGGGATGAGTCCATAAGTAATTTCTCAATGCCATTTGTCGCTGTCTAACCATCAGTTAAGTATTTATTCCTGGGTAATTATCAGCCAGTGCAGCTGATGCGTTGTCCTGTCCTCCTGGCTACTCCTTGACACAAGACCATAATCCTCGCCACCTCAGGATTTGTTAGTTGTATCAGTGGCAGCATCTACGTGTTAAATTTCGGCCTGGGTGGCAGACTAACTTCAAATACATGTATAAGGAGCAAAAAAAATATATACTGTATACGTTATGTTTTAAGGCAAACACCAAGTCGCAACAAGTATAACATCGACGTACGTTTGAAAGATAAATCGGTTGAGGAAATATTGATGACAGTATAGAGGTTGAGGTAATAACAGTAAATACGTCATGATACTCATCGTCTTCACACCTGGCATCTGTCTCACTCTTGTATAACAACAAGAAATCTTTACATTTCTCAAGAAAGACAATTAAAGTTTATAAACTCAGCTCTTTTAAGAAACATCATTTGTTCACTGGTAACACTTGGTCAGGATTGTATCAACATGGACAATACAGTAATAAATGCTTGGTATAATAGATTATAAATTGTACAGAGGTTGACTTAGAGGATTCAGTTTTTTTTCAGGGAATGTATTCAGTGCTTTGTGTCACATTAACAACATCTTGCGTAAAGTTTGTCTCGAAAATTGTTCTGGTGGAGCGTGTGTGAGCGTGAGCTAGACGAAGGTGTCCTTGGTATTGACATGAGACCTGTTGGTGGACACGAGGCTGGTCTGACGTGTGACCTGGGAGGAGTTGGAGCCCGTGGACGCGTAGCTGTACTGGTTACTGACCACAGTCTTGGAGAACAGCGTCTTGTACACCATAGAACAGTTGGTGCCGTAGTTGAGGCGGAGATTATTACTGACGGTGGGGTTGTTGAAGGAGGTGTTGCTGTAGGTATGTTGCCGCCGCAGACGACCTCGCTTGCCACGGAACACCCGACGAAATGCCGTGCGGAATTTGGTAGACGTCATGTTGTAGAGGATAGGATTGATAGAGGAGTTAATGTAGTACATGATGCGGCAGAAGTAGAGAAGGTTGTAGTATCCTTCTATCCCCAAGGAGGTGACTGTCTCGTTAGGGACAGTCATGATCCAGAAGTAGAGGACTCTCATGGGCAGGATACAGAGGAAGAAGAAGAGGACCACCGTGGCCAGCATCACCACCACCTGCCTCCTCGCTCGCATCTGTGGGTTCTCCTTCTTGTGGGTCAGCTCGTAAGTGTCCACGAGCAGCTGGCGGGCTATGATGGTGTAGAGGACCACCAGCAGGAACAGCGGGAGGAAGAAGAACAGGATGGAGGTGGCGAAGAAATATGATTTGATCCAGTTACCGTGAATGGGCATGATACACTGTGGCTTGTAGGTACCATCGTAGAACCTCGCTATGTTGTACTGCACGATCATCAGCAGCGGCCTGGAGGGGAGATGATAGAAATTAGAGAGAAAGAAATAGAGAAAGAAAGTGAATGAAATGAATATCCTGATGTTGTCATTATAAACATACGACACTAATTACTTTACAGAAGGTTAAATTAAGTGTTTGGTCTCTTAATAACAGGTTTAGACAAGAATAAATCAATTAAAGAACTGAACCTTTAACCTGTGTTCTTCATAAGTTTAGTGATTTAATATAAAGTTAACATTAACCTCACTGTGAATCGATCCCAGTATATTTGGTATAGGAGGAAGGTATAACAATGAGACAAATATTTGTTATAATCTTCAATAAAAAGATGTCTTATGATTTTTAATTATGACTCAGCTTTGGAAGTTAACACAGACACACACACACACACACACACACACACACACACACACACACACACACACACCTACCCAGCAGAGATGAAAGAAATGGCCCAGATGATAGTGATAGCAACAACAGCCTTCGCCTTGGTGCAGCGGTACCCGGCCTGCAGGGGCTGACAGATGACGTGGTAGCGCTCCAGCGAGATGACCACCAACGAGAGGGCGGAGGCGTGGACGACACTCATCTCCACGTACGGCACAAGCTTACCTGTTGATGCAAGAGGCTCGTTAGCACCAAGGTAAGGTAAGGTAAGGTAAGGTACATGGTTAATCAATGTGAATGAAAAGGTATGTAAGGTAAGTTCTCATTAAAACTAAGGTAAGGTAAGGTAAGGTAAGGTAAGGTAACGCTAAAGTTAATAATCTTACAACAGGTTTCTTTCCATAAATTAATCGAATGACGTCAATGGTGTTTACCTGGTGACGTCACTTCTGAAATAACGTCATCCATCTCAATCCAAAACAAAAACAAAGGTAAATAAAGGTATAAAATAGTTAATTAACACAAAGGTAAGGATCGCATCAATAGTGTCTATAATAAACACAACTCTCACCAGACCTAACCTAACCTAACCTAACCTAACCTAACCTAACCTAATCTACCACTCACTTCAAGGACTCGGGACGTGATAAAAAATAGCCTCAGTGAAACCCTCTATTTAACGAACGACATGGAGAGGAAAGTCCGTTATATCCTCGGACATACGGAGTAGTTAACGTTAAGATACCGGAATATACTTGTGCTTCAGAGGGTAAACTAGATATACCTTAGAGGATTAGTGTAATATATCGATCGTAACTTAAAGACACACACATACATACATACATACATACATACATACATACATACATACATCACAAACAATACACACACACACACACAACACCAATCACTCACACAAGCACACACAATATACACACACACCAATCATATCCACACACACATAGCCTCCATAATAGAGAGTCGAACCCAAGGCCGCTTGATTGCCAATCCAATATGATAGCCTCTTGTCCACTATATCCAGCTGTATATAGGGACGGATGTTGTGTTCATTAAGCGATTGTGATTGATATAGTGACCAAGTGATAGAGTGACTCATGCAGAACAGTGTTTTATTATCACCATTAACATTCTAAATACCTTTCCACATTCATCAATCATTAATGTTCATATGTTATTGTTAAATTTTATGTAAATAGATTCTCAACTAACCACTCCACAGTTAACATTCATTAACTTCCTAAATACTTTTCAATATTTACCAATCATTAACTCCTTTATATACTTTCAACACGTAAGATTCATTAACTTTCTAAATACTTTTCAATATTCACCTATCATTAACTCCTTTATATACTTTCAACACGTAAGATTCATTAACTTTCTAAATACTTTTCAATATTCACCTATCATTAACACCTTTATATACTTTCAACACGTAAGATTCATTAACTTTCTAAATACTTTTCAATATTCACCTATCATTAACTCCTTTATATACTTTCAACACGTAAGATTCATTAACTTTCTAAATACTTTTCAATATTCACCAATCATTAACACCCTTATATACTTTCAACACGTAAGATTCATTAACTTTCTAAATACTTTTCAATATTCACCTATCATTAACTCCTTTATATACTTTCAACACGTAAGATTCATTAACTTTCTAAACATCATTCCATTGCTTGAAAACACTGGTAGAAAGCACAGACGGCATCCAGAGATAAACTTTAATTAAGAACTTTCGAAGCAGTTGAACTTTCTTTTTATCTTTGTTTCTTTCTCTTAGAGCAAATTATCCTTTGTTTCAGGAGGCCAGGGGATGAATTATTCAGGTAGGTCAGTTCAAGCTTTCACCTGTGTCTTTATCACAGTCAGGTCCTGGCATGACCATTGGTAGTGGCTTAGTGTGGCGGGTGTTTAGTTCTGTTTTATTATTATTGTGTTGTGTTGTGTTGTGTTTTATACCTGTTGTATTGTGTGATGTAGCATTGTTTTGTATTTATCAGTGTTACATTATTGGTGCTAATCTTTTTGCCCAAGTATACGGCTTACATATTTTTGTTCTTCATTTTCACCAATAAATTATCACCCGCAAAAAATATATATAAATAGATAAATCACGTCTGGGAAGTTTATTAATATTAAAAAAAAATCAGCCACGTATTACAGCAGTAAGTAAAAATTATACATTATTCACTACTAAAAAAAATCAAGGCATGAAAAGCAATATTTAACAAAAAACAAGATACAGACCAACGACAACAACAACAACAACAACAACAACAACACCACCAACTAGGTCAAGCAGCTGTAACAAGTCATTAATATGTGTTGACAATATAGGACTCTTGTTTTTGATACAGGACTCTCATATACCAAGACTTAACCCCATATTCTGATATATTTCCTTCCCCCCTTGCTGTAACCATCACTGTAATTAATAAAAATATTCAGGGGTTATGCATCCTGAGGTTGTCCATTAGGTAACACGGAAGATGAGATGGTGGAGGCTAGAGGCTACAATCATCTGGTGACCCGTCTTATATTGTGTGGTCTTGGGGTTGGGGGGATAGTTAAGTGCTCTGTGGGTGTGTGTGTGTGTGTGTGTGTGGGTGTGTGTGTGTGTAGGTGTGTGTGTGTGTGTGTGGGTGTGTGGGTGTGTGGGTGTGTGCGGGTGTAGGTGTGTGTGTGTGGGTGTGTGGGTGTGTGCGGGTGTAGGTGTGTGTGTGTGTGGGTGTACGTGTGTGTGTGTGTAGGGATACAGACACACACACACACACACACACACACACACATATACACACCTACACACACACACACACACACATATATATACACACCTACACACACACACACACACACACATATATACACACCTACACACACACACACACACACACCTCGAATATCATCCTGAATCCCGGGAGAGAAAACGCATCTAGGGGGAGTAAATTTGAGTCTGTTATTCCAAGTGGCGCTCAAGTGGCACTGGAGACGGTGTAGTGGCACTCTGACACCTTACATATGAACGCCATTTACCTAACCTACCCTAGCTCTCTCCTGCCCTTAGTGAGAGCGCTCTAACGGACGGATTACTTACGTCTCGTGTGTGTGTGTGTGTGTGTGTGTGTGTGTGTGTGTGTGTGTGTATGCGTGCGTGAAATAAAAACTACCTCCAAACTCACCATCAACAAACACGGATGAGGTAGAAAACAAAAGGTTAACGAGATAACCAACAGTATCAAGGTGGACTAAACCAACATTAGAGACTACATCATAAACAGAATCCTCACGAGCCAAGAATTTGTGTTAGTTGGCTACAGGGAGGCATTTATACTGATCAAGAGAGAGAGAGAGAGAGAGAGAGCCAGGAGGGTATATAAGGAATCACATAGTTCCATTTAATTTCCTCTGAATGATTAGATCAACAGTTTCTTAGTCTACCTGTAAATCTACCTGTACCTGTAAATCTACCTGTACCTACAGTAACCCGTTAGTATACAGGTGGTGTTCGACAGGGATTGCAGGAGGGATTATATCCATGAACTCCACAGACAAAGGTTATTTAATCAGTTTTATACAACACTGAACTTAATATGTTTCGTAAATAAGGGTTGTAATACGGTGAACTACAAATAGTTTTTAGTAATTAAGGGTTATGTAACAGTGAACGATAGATACGTGTTGGAAATTAGGGTTAAAGATATGTGTCAGTAATTAAGGGTTAAATAACATTGACTTAAATATGAACGTATTAAATCAGGGTTATGAAAGGGTTGTAAAGTGAATGAAATGCAGAAAAAACCTTGGTAAATCGGGGTTGACAGAACAGTGACATTAACAAGAAGCGTGAGAAGGTAATATAACACTGATCTAGTTTCTCACTTTCCCGTCACTCTTTATGCAAATTAGTGGCAATCTATGTAAATATATTTTAATTACTCTTCTTCATTAGTTAACTTTTATTTTTCTATGTCTGTATGTGTAAATATCTATACATAAAATACTAAACTTCAATTAAAAAAATAGTTTAATCGATTCAGTTTTTATATAAATAATTTAGATGTTAAAAAGACAAACACTATTAAAAAATATTAAATAAAAAATAGAAATCACTAAAATGATAAAAAAAATAGTCTCAGTCAATAAATAAAATCTCAAATAGTCTCTCAATCTACCTATTACCACTATATTATCTCCTAATTTCTCTATCTATCTCTATTTCTCTACCTATTTCCCTTCAATTACCTGTCGGATATAACCTATTTCCCGCCATATCGTCTCCAGGCGTTCGCAGTTATAGATCCGTATTCACGACTCTTAAACCGGATTACCGTGGACGAACGAGACACCTGTAAGAAGCGGATATGTGTAGCAGTAAAATACACATCCCCGGATTTACAGAAAACGGGTGTAGATTCTCGAAGATTTTTACATTAAATTCTGACATTTGGATATTCGAAAATTCTTGCGTTAAATTCCGATGTTCAGTAATTCTTAGGTTAATTTTTAATGTTTCAATTGTTATTAATGTTGTTATTAAGGTACTACAAAGCATCGTAATAATAATAATGAAGATAATATAAATAATAATAATAATAATAGTAATACTAAAGGCCCTCATATATCCCGCCTACAATGTACTTATCATGTTACTGTACTAATGTTTCCCAGGCCGCCTGAGGTGAGTGTACGGTATTAGGGAAAAGAAAGCATGGAGAGAGAGAGAGAGAGAGAGAGAGAGAGAGAGAGAGAGAGAGAGAGAGAGAGAGAGAGAGATACCCCACCAAAAAATATAGAAAAATAAAAAAATAGGTAGAAAAGATAGACAGAAAGACGTAAACAGATAGACAAAAAAGGTTTAGGTTGACAGGGACTCAGACAGACAGACACACAGACAGACAGACACACAGACAGAGAGACATATATAAACCTAAACCGTAAAAAATAAACCAATATGCACTCACATAAGCGATATACATATATAGTACCATAAGGACTACAAATATATACCGTATAATAGGATTACCGCCCCTGTGAGGATATACTGTAATTTTTTGTTACTGTATGTCGGTTTCTCCCTCACACACACACACCGGCTGCAACTCTATTAATAAACCGTTTATTATTATTATTATTATTATTATTATTATTATTATTATTATTATTACACACAGTCATAAATAATTTTAATCTCC